TCAACTAGTGATCACTTAAACAAATGTCTTCTATCTAGAATATATAAAGAACTAAAAAACATTAGGTCCTCAGAATATATATATATATATATATATATATATATATATATCTCCTTGCTTTTTAACAATGGGTTTGCTGTTAGAGCACAGGTGTAGTGAAAACCACCACTAAATAAAAACTGACAAAGGAAAAGATTCACATTAATATCATCATCATTGGACACATGGACTCAGGCAAGTCCACCATCACTGGCCATCTGACCTGCAAATATAGTAGCATCAACAAAAGAAGTATTGAGAAATTTGAGAAGGCTGCTGATATGGGGAAGGGTTTCTTCCAGAATGCCTGGGTCTTGGACAAGCTGAAAGCCTAGCTTGAGCATGGTATCACTATTGACATCTCCCTGTGGAAATTTGAGACTAGCAAGTATTATGTGACCATCATCGATGCCCCTGGTCATAGAAACTTCATCAAAAATGTGATTACAGGCACATCTCAGGCTGACTGTGCTGTACTGATTGTTGCTGCTGGTGTTGGTGAATTTGAAGTTGCTGCTGGTATCTCTAAGAATAGGCAGACCCGTCCTTGAGCATGCCCTTCTGGCTTACACACTGGATTTGAAACAACTAATTGTTAGAGTTAACAAAATGTATTCCATGGAGCCACTCTACAGCCAGAAGATGTGAGGAAATTGTTAAGGAAAGTCAGCACCTACATTAGGAAAATTTGCTACAACCCTGAAACTGTAACTTTTGTGCTAATTTCTGGTTGCAATGGTGACAACATGCTGGGGCCAAGTGCTAATATGCCTTGGTTCAAAGGATGAAAGGTCACTCATAAAGATGGCAATGCTAGTGGAACCACATTGTGTGAAGCTTTGGATTACACCCTTCCATCCACTCACCCAGCTGACAAGGCTTCGTGGCTGCCTCTCCAGAATGTCTACAAAATTGGTGATATTGGCACTGTTCCTGTGGGCCAAGTGGAGACTAGAAAATTAAGGTTTCCTGAAGGCAAGTGGTAATATTGAACTATTTGTCCAATCTTGCATAAATATATCTTAATCTTAATGAGAGACTTGATGATAAAATTAAATAATAGAGCAACCATGTTAGCTATTCTTGTTTTGGAAATCTGTAACATATGTATTGTTGTATGCTATCCTGTTTGTGTCTTTGTTCTGCTATTTGTTTTTGCTTTGTTTTTACTCTTCAAAATAAAATAAAATCAAGTAAAAATCTTTCATTAGCTTTTGTAGCATTGATTTTGTGGTTCTGAATTTTTTAAGTTGTTCTTTGTCATGGGAGTATTTCATTTTTCCATTAATTTTGAAAGAAAGTTTTGCAGGGTATATCAGTTTCTGTTGGAAGCTGTTTTCTTTTCAAAATTATAATACTTCACTCCATATTTTCCTGACTTGATGGTTTGTGTTGAGAACTTTACTAGCATTCTGAGGGGTTTCCTTTAAATGTGATCTGTTTCCTTCGCTAACAGCTTTTAGTGTGCTGTTGTGCTGAATTTCTGGGTTCTTGATTATTCTATGTCTGGGTGTAGATTTGGTTGATGCTATTTTGAGTACTTCATGCCTCACTTGTCTAAATTTCATATTCTTTTCCTTCTCTTGGGAAGAGCTCTGCTATTATGTATGAAAATATTATTTTTATGCCATGTGCAATGACTCCTTCATTTTCATTGACATCTATTAGTCTTATGTTGAACATCTTTGCATCATTTTGTAGCTGCTGAGTTATTTCCTGGTTCCTTGTTGTGTTTAAGAGCTGTTTCCTTCCTGGTCACTAGCTAAAATGATGCTTTAAAGTCTGAAATTCTATTCTCAGTTTCATTCAAATGGTTTTGCTAGCCTTTAATGGAATTTTAAATTTCATACATATCTCTTTGAATCTGTTTCATGCATTGTATTTTTTCATGTATTCCTCATTTAGTTTTCAGAATTCTTATGCTCCCTATTTTTTGTCAGTGTGTTCTTTGATACACTCATTAATTCTTTCCTTATAGTTATTATTTCTTTTTCTACCTGAGAGAATATCTCTGCTCTGATTTCCTCTATACCCCTCTGGATTTGTTTCTTTACTTCAGTTTCAACCATTTTAGAGGTTTCAGGTGTGTGACTTCCTAATTTCTTCTATGCTGATGCCTCCTGGATTTGTTCTGTATAGGAAGGGGACCTGATATTGCCTTTTTCTCTGTTTTCTTGTCATCTTCTATTTCAGAATTCACTCTTTATTTTTAGTTCAGTGAAAGATGTTGTGAAATTTTGATAGTAGGTAGCTCTATCCCTGAAAATAGAGCCTTTCTGTAAAGCCTGTTCTTCAGGGATGTCTTATGTGTCATAGATTTTTGGTTTGTGTTCATCCCTAGATCTTGCCTTCTCTGTTTCTTGAGAGTGGGGTATTGCTTTTGCTTGACGCTGTCCTCCATCTTGCCTTCTAGGGCTTTGGTGGGGTTATTACCTCATTACTTCCTGGCATTATTACCCAAGTGAGAATGTGTTAAGACAGGTATGGTATCCTAGTTACAGTAGTACAATTAGTAATACTAAGAGTGGTCCATGAAATTTAGAAATTGCCAATCTGTGGTAATTAATGGTTTTATGCTTTAGACCATAGGAGCAAACACTATAGTTATGTACAAAACAGACTGTAAATTGAGAGTTCGTATGTAAACTAGTTCCCTTGAGTTCTGTCTGGGCACTTTTCTGTCACATACCAAGAATCCTCCAGGAAGACCAGTGTACCCCAGTTCCCTCCTGCCACCTTCATGCTGTAAGGCAGCAAGTCTCTTCTCTTTAGGTCCACACCTCAGTCTAGGCCGCACTGAGCCTAGTCATGTGCCTTGGCTCCTCCACGCTGGTCCACAACCAAGGCTTGACTCACAGTTAATGTGCCCTAAATGTGATGGCCACATCTCCTGCAATGGTGAGAAGCAACATTCGACAGTAGTTTTGTCAAATTAGGTATCTAAAACCTGGGGGTTTCAGGACCAGGTAATGCCAGAGGGGAAAGAGGAGATGTTTTGTTCTAAGTGCTCTCCTCTGTAGTGTGGGAAGGAGGAAATAGGAGAGGAGAGAGGGTTCCTGGTGATGGTTATGTATTTAGCAGGATATAACAGGGAAAACTGGGTACAAAATTGACAGCCAGAAGTGAGGATAGGGAAAGATTATATTGCTGATAAAAACATTAAAGAAAAAGTTGACAGGAGATAAATGAAAAAGTCAGAGAAGAAAAATGAAAATGAATAAGACACAAGAGAAATAATTCATGCAGATACAGAAAAAAGTAGGAGGGATATAACAGGATAAGGGAGAATTCCTATAACCTGTAGACTATTGGAAGAGAAAAGGCAATAGGAATCAAAGCCTCATAGAGACATGGTTGTAAAAGAAAACAGATGACACAATGGAATAAAGGTGTGTGTGTGTGTGTGTGTGTGTGTGTGTGTGTGTGTATGTGTGTGTGTGTACACAGAAGGAGGAAAACAGCAAATAATAAAACAATTTTAAAAGTAGATAAAAATAAAAAATGAAATCAAAGAGAGAATAACAAAAGCAAGATTTCTTTATTGTTTTGCATGCATGGCTCTTTTCCTTAGCCCAGGGTTAAGGAGCAGAGTTGCAGTCAGGATACTTCTCTGCTCATATAGGCAGTCTAAGTTGCACTGTGTTCCCAGCGTGGTGCTGGGTGTAGAGATCTGCTTACAGTGAGGGCATGGTGCCACTGTGAGCTTCCCATCCTGTGTAGCTCAGACTGAACCTGGCCTCTGACTGCAGGACGTTTGTCTGTTCTCACCAGCCACAGCCTCTCAGCAGGACTCCCACCAGTTTGCTCTCCAACTGACAGCTGTGCTTCCTGATTATCTTTTCTTCATCCACACTGGGAACTTGGGGCTGCACTGGGACCGAGGTTCAAACACTCAGCTGACCCTGCCAACTGTGGCTGTAGGGGCCATACTTAGGTCACTCAACAACTGTTGGCTGAGTACATCTTCCATAGAAACAGCGTCCTGTGTTTTCCTTGCTGGTTCCAGTGAAGATGATCCTTTCCATCTTAATGCATTTTTCTTGCTCTCTGTGACAAAAATGTTAGTTTAACTTTGCTTCTCAGGTGGTTTCTAGCCAGCTACTGTCAGTGGAACTGTGTCATCCCTCCTCAGTTCTGTGATCCATTTATTATGTATCACTTAGTCTTATTTTTTCTGTTACTTCTTTTGTGGTTCCCTAGTAACCTCCACTTACACGGATTTCTATCCAAGCTATTGTTTTCCAGACCTAGACCCTTTGCTCTGGAGAAGTTGAGTTGCTGGCAGTCATTTCTTTGTCATTTTGGAACCAAGTTTATATTCTAAAGACAGAAAAGTTTCCACAATTGCTCTATAAATATGTTCCCAGGTTCAGTCAGTTGTGCTTACTACCTAGCTGGCCCAGTGTTCCAGGTTGTGGGAGATGGTATCCTAAGCCAAAGGAGTTCTAGCATAGTGTCCTTAGAATTAGGGGAGACTGAGGCAAAAATCAACTTAATTTAATCCCTTCCCGAAGTGTTTAGAGATAGGAGACACCTTGGATGTTGTCTCCTATCTCTATTTGGCCTTGCATATGTTGTCTCCTATCTCTATTTGGCCTTGCATAAATTGCCACATTTGGTCTTGCATAAATTGGCCCATCCTTCACTTCTTCCCCTGCCTTGTTAAAACTTCGCAGACATGAAAGAGATAAGGGAGGAAGCAGGACCAATGAAAGGAAGTAGAGCCAGATCATATGCCCATATGCAGCCATAAATTCCAAGTTCATTCTGAGGTAGAAACAAGATCAAGCACCAGGCAACATTCCCAAAGGGAACTTTTTTTTTTTGCCATCTTCCGTGACTATTCCCCAGGTCCCTCTTCTAAGTCTTCTTGGCTATGTTGTGATACTTGAACCCAAGAAATTGCCACAGCTCATACACAAATACATGTCTGCCAAAGAAGGCAAGAAGGAGGCACAATATATGTATAATTTTATCATGTGCTTTATTGTTTACAAATCATTTAAAGTCCATTATTTCTTTTAATTGTTACAAAGAGGGGTATTCTGAGAAGGAATCCCCATTCTCATTTTGTCTCCACGATGAACATGTAAATTATTGAGCACGTGAATTATTTGCTCCAGACTAATTCTGAGGGAAATAGCAGGGCTAGGACTGTTATCAAATTTGCTTAGTCTAATTCTGCTCATTTTTCCTTTCCCACTTTCATTCTGTCCTCTCACATCTGCATAGGCATGTTTTAGAGACATGAAATTCCTCTTTCTCTCCTTCTCCACCATCATGCTCTGGGGATGGCACAGATGCAGTAGCTCTCTGGGGAAAGTGTAATGCCCATCCTGATCTTCAGGCTCAGCTTCTGGTTGGCTGGGGCCTTGAAGGTGAACTTTTGCAGAAGGAAAGTGAAGAAAATGAAAAGCTCAGATCTAGCCAATTGTTCTCCAGGGCATACACGTTTTCCTGTGGGAGACAAACAAACAATTTATATTCTGGGATGGTTGTGGTGCCTCTACAAATTGGTTCTTAGCTCCCTCCTTCAAAACCTGATCCTTGTGCCTTATATCCAGCTTCTTATTTTTGCCTGGCAATACTTGAATTTACTAAAAGACAGAACTGGATGCAAGGGGACAGAAACTCAGTGCTGAGAGTATTAGGGGCCACTATGCTGGGACAGTGATGGAAAGAAGGCTGGGATGTGGTAGCACTTGTCATGAGACTCTGCCAAAACCATGGAAGTAGAGTGCATTAAATGAGATATCACAACCAAGAAAAATAATCCTCCATAAGC